TCTAGACAGCTGGATGCTCCACATCTCTATCTAAAGTCAGAGGAAAAAGGAATGGGTCTTGGGGAGCACATACCCAGTCCTTTTAAGGATAAGACTCTAGAGTAGCAAACATTTCTACTCACAGCCCATTGGATAAAAATTAATCATATAGTCACATCTAGCTGCAAGGGAGCCTGGAAATTAACACCTTTCACTGGACTATAATACTGTGGGAGGGAAGCCAGATATTGGAAGGCAGCTAGCTGCACAAGATAATCATGTATTTTGTTTAATTTGTCAGTATACTAAAAAACATTAATGTATTTTCTAATGTTGTTGAATCATTCTCCCATTCCTAGAATAAATCCCAACTTGACCATGAAGATTTTTTTTACTGTATTGTTGGATTCTGTGTGTGAGTATTTTACTTGGGGAATTTTTCATCTGCATTTTATTAAAAATATACTTTAATTGATGCAGAAAGTAGCAATAACACTTTACATTTATATGGTACTTTGAAGGTTTTTAAAGTCATTTCACACACATTACTTACGTGAGAATAAATGATAATCAGGAGATGACTATTTTAAAAAAAAGTAGATATTAAATGTATAAATAGAAAATATCTGCAAATGGAACACTGTAGGCTTTTTTTTTTTTTTAATTGCCTGAATTCTAGAACGCCATCAATGTGACTAAAGTAAAGATTAAGGGAGAGAAAGAGACGTAGGGGATTTAAAAAGGACTTTTGATCACATGAACCCAAGAGAGATTGCTGTCGCCCTCCAAGTTGCACAGAGAGGAATAGGGCTGTGGGCTCTGTGAAATATCTAGCATTCTGTTCGTGTCCTAGACATTCTATTAATGCAATGTTTAAATAACCTGGTTTTGGATTTACAAATAAAGGATTTCCTGGTTATTAAACATTCTTCAGCTTTATGAAATTTTGTTTTGATTCTTTACTTATCTGCATATACCAAGTTAGATAATGGCAATTGAGCAATCTCATGGGAAGAGGAAGCACTAAAAATACAGGATGTGCCTGCTGTTTTGTCTGGCTGCCAGGTCATGTGTGTCCTGGCCACACATTCTCTCACAGAGCGGAAGAGCTCTTCCGGAATACACCATGATTACATAACTGATCACCCAGCACTCACAAGTATGAAACACCTTTGGTAGGAGAATAGCTGGAAGGCTGACATAATTTTGCAAAAAGAGTTATTCTGTATTAGAGTGACTAGCCATCACAGTAAACATAGAATTACCCAAATAGCAGGGTTTGTTTGTTTTTTGTTTTTTGAGATTTTACGCATACAAAATATACTGTTTATTAACTACTTCTTTCTTTCCCTTGAACCTCAGAACCTCTAGGATGCCATAGATTAGACACTTAGGGCAACATTTAATCCTGAGAGGATCACTGCTGGGCTGTCAGTGCTCTCTTTCTTCAACACCCCCCTCTGCATGTTCCCTCCTCTCTCCCTCCCTCCCCCACACACACCCACAGCAACCATTACACTACAATATACCTGGGCATCTGCTGTCTTCTTTCTGACACTGTAGCTGCACATTCCAAAATGAAACAGTGATGATCAGGGAAGTGTTGATTACTGACATCAGTGCACGGGTCTCATTTGAACAATTAGATCCATAATAGCTTTTGCTGTGGATTTTGTGCATTGATCTGATTGATCAGATAATTCATCCCAATCCACTTCACTTTGTAACGTCTGTAGATATCCTAAGTACCTAAATTCTTAATGACTATTTCTATTGGGATAAACACATATTCCTAGTATCTTTTTTTTTTTTTTTCACCATGTACAGTAGAGGGACAAAAGTACATGGATAGGTATCCCAGAATCTCATCTATTTTTATCATCATCAACCCTAGAAATTCAGTAGGAATATTGAAAAGGAATAAGGTTGAAGTTCAAGTGTATAGAACTACCCCCATTTGACATTCCAAATGGATCTCCCACATCATGAAGTCACAACAGTGGTATAAACAATACTTGTAGTGTAACTAAGCTTACACTTGTAATGTAACTTGTTTAAAATAAATGCTTTAAAATAGCTAATCATACTTTACCTTACAGAAAAAGAAAAATGTTTTCTCAGGTCCCCGAAAATGGATGATGAGTACTTTAAAGCTTTGTGGATATCCAAAGTTAAGTTACTCATTTTTAAAATGCTGAACCAGGGTTTGAAACAACTTTCCAGTTCCAGAGCCCAGCAACTCTTAACTGTAAGGCCCTATGGTGTCTTAAGTATAAGTCAATAATTGGAACATTGTGGGAGTAGGGAAGGGAATAGTGAAGAAAGATTTAGGTTACCAGATAGTAAATATGTTAAAAACTACACAGCTAAAATAGCCTAGTACAAGTTCAAGGAAAGATAGACCGCTCAACCTCACAGAAAAAACAAAATCCAAAAGCAGACCCAAATATACCTGAAAATTTAGGAAAAAGCTAAATTGGATCTCAATCTCTCTTCTCTCTGCCCATTCAGTTATGAGAGCTCAGTCAATACTGTGTTGTTATAAAACACAGTCAGACTGTTCAAGATCTAAATATAAAAAATAAAACCATAAAGTTTCTAGGAGCAACTTCAGGTATTTCTATAATCTTGGATGGGGAAGAGCTTTCTAAGCATTTTATCAAAACTGGAATCCATGAAGGAATATATTAATAAATTTAACTATTAATAATTATAAAACATGTACATGTCTGAGCATAAAAGTCCCATAAGTAACCCCAAGACCTCTCCCTAGAAAAAAATCTAACTAGAGCCTTGAAGAGACATGCCCAAAGAATGTAAATAAGGGAGTAAATAAAATAAAATATTACCATTCTACCATTACTTAAATATCTATAAAATAGCTACAGCACAGAGCTGATCCTCACCAGGCCAGATTAATCCAGTATACAAAGATGATTACGTTTCTTTAGAGACACAACCTGCCAGCAGTCTTAATCCAACACAAAGCCTCAGACCACATGCAGCCATTAGTGGTAGTAAACATGACAAGTGAAGAAGCATCAGAACTGTCAGTAAATTCTGCAAAGTTGAAATTCAAGCCATCAGTTTCAGTAATTCCCAGAAATAACAGACAGGCCAAAAACACTCTATGGCTTTGCAATTTTACAATTAGACCAATACAAAAGGTATTAGGAATTTTTTAAATATAAATGATGTAACATACATAGATACATTTGTACATGGTTAGCTTTCAAAGTATTTATTCAGCGTAAGTAAAACACCATCAAGGCATTTAGGATTGAAAACCTGAGTAGAGATCAAGGTCAAGTGAAATCCCTAAGTAGCTTCTAGAAGACTTGCAACACTCTGAGCAATGTAATCTGGTAGTTCCTTCCAGCTGACTGGCTTCAGAATGTGAATAAGGCCAACTTTAAGCAGCTCTAGCTAGTCGAGTCGATTCCAACTCATAGCGACCCTATAGGACAGAGTAGAACTGCCCCATAGAGTTTCCAGGGAGTGCCTGGTGGATTCGAACTGCCAACCTTTTGGTTAACAGCCATAGCTCTTAACTACTACCCCACCAATGTTTCCTTAAGCAGCTAGAGCAGTGTTTAATTTTGTCCTAAATCTTCAACATCCTAATTCCAAGTTTGTCCCCTTTAACTTGTAGTCACCCCAGGTAATGGGATATTTTCTTGGGAAATGGGGCTTGTGTGACCTAATCATCTTGCAGCTTTCTCCATGAAGAGTCTTGTGCACATGGATCTGAACCTATTCCAGCAGCAAGGCTCGAACTTTGAAACTGATATTCTATTCTTTGTATCAGCCACGATGACATGCTGGTTGGTTCATTTGGAGCTGGTATCATATCGTTGCTAGAGGCCCCTTGTAAGGTCTCTTGGTCTCCACTGGCATGAGGGTGCTGCCCCAGAACTTACCCAGAAGATGTGCCTCACCCAGTGGCAAGAAGAATTAAGGCAATGACCCAGATAACTTGGACCCAAGAAAATTACCACTTTTGCTTCAAACTGTCCACTAACAGGGTCAATGTGGTGAAAGTCTTTGAGAATGGAGGTAGAACGATCCTTGGATTACCTGTACAACTGCCTCCATCTTCCCTTTGCATCATATCAGAATGCTCAAGTTGTTTCCATTGAATTAGGTAAAATAAGCAGAAAATAGTTGTGAGACCATTATTTCATGTTGGTGAATCATATTAGAGCTTTTTAAGAAACTCTTTTTTGGTTGCTTGAGTACTCACTGTAGGAGAAAATTGCCTTGGAAATGATAAGACCAGATCTGTCATTGAGTATTCATTGTGTCTGTGAGGGGGAGAGGGAGAGAGCTCTCAGGCAGGTGGAATAAAACTCGGCATTTTACCCTTTGGACGTGGAGGAAAGTGCTTGCCCCCTCCCCAGGGGTCTGTGGAGTGTAGCATATAACTGTAGACAGGGCTAGTTTGGAAGGGTTCACCTTTACCAGATTCTGAACCTATGTCACCCCTTAGAGAGCTAGAAAGAGCGTAGTTTGGCAGGACATGATCATGACCTCGCTGATGCCAGAATCATGAATTAAATTTAGACTCTTTTCTCATATACAAGACATCAGCATCCTTAGATAGCTGGGGGCAAAAAAAGAAAAAAGAAACAGTTGCCATGGAGTTGACTCTGACTCACGGTGACCCCACATGTGTCAAGAGTAGAAGTGTGCTCCATGTAGTTTTCAATGGCTGATTATTCGGGAGTAGATCACCAGAACTTCTTTCAAGGCACCTCTGGGTGGACTTGAACCTCCAGCCTTTTAGTTAGCAGCTGAGCACATTAATTATTTGCACTACCCAGGGATTCCCTAGATACCTGAAGAAAGAAAAAAACTGGGCTTAGTTTCCTGCTATTAGGCCTTCTTAGCCTGACACAAAATTGTCAGAAGTAGTGTCATTATTTGGTTGCATGTTACTTGGTCCAGACATTTTACTGTGATTTTTCCCGTCTCCCTTATCCCCTTACCTTACCGCCCCTTTCTTGCCCCTCTCACAACAGGTGTAGAAGACATAGTGGCAATAATGATTCCTGAGCCAAAAGGGAAGGAGATAGTGAGCCTGCTGGAGAGAAACATCACCGTGACGATGTACATCACCATCGGGACCCGGAACTTGCAGAAATATGTGAGCCGCACCTCGGTTGTGTTTGTCTCCATCTCCTTCATTGTCCTGATGATCATTTCCCTCGCATGGCTGGTCTTTTATTATATCCAGAGGTTTCGATATGCAAATGCCAGGGACAGGAACCAGGTGAGTGGCTCACATAAAAACAATTTTTTTTAATTATTACAACAGTAATACCTATTATTGTATAAACTTTGCAAATCACAGAAAATACCAAGCAAAAACAGTTACCTATAATACCCACTACTCAAGATAAACACTGTATAAGGTTTGTTGTATAGTTTTTCAGAAGTTTTCTAGATATGTATTTTTTTTTCTAGTATTGTGTAAAATGAAGGTGCTTTGGTCCACACTCCTATTGCCTATTCTTTGGACAATTGTTTATTTAAGTAGGCTGACAATGAAGGGAGAAAGGGGAAGTGAGCTGAGAGTATGCTAAGTGTTAATGTGATTTGGAAAGTGCCAGGATTTCCTCCTTGTGAGCAGAAGAGGAAAAGGAGATAAAAATTAAAAGCTATTTTAAAAAGCAATTAATGTATAAGCAGATAATATACATATACATGGTATAAAATGCAAACAGTACAAAATGATAAAGAATAAAAAGTAAATGCCTTCCCATTTCTGTCCCTCAGCCTCCCAGTTTCTCTGGAATACTTCCTCTTCCCTGGATAGTTTATACATTTACAAACACATATGCTTATATATCTTTTTAAAACAAATGGTAACACACTTAACTCTATACCCTTCTTAGTCTGGAAAATTATCATGGTGATTATTTCATATCAACATGCAAAGCAAACTGTCTCATTTCTAGTGACTGTATAGCATTGCATGTCATCTGGACATGCCATGTTTATTTTACCAGCCTCCAATCGGTAGCCATGTTTCTCTTTTTTTTTTTTTTTATTGTACTTTAGATGAAGGTTTACAGAACAAATAGTTTCTCATTAAACAGTACACATGTTGTTTTATGACAATGGTTAACAACCCCACGACAGGTCAACACTGTCTCTTCTCAGCCCTATTTACCAGCTTTCCTGTCCCCTCCTGCCTTCTAGTCCTTGTCCCTGGACTGTTGTGCCCCATTAGTCTCGTTTTGTGTTATGGGGCTGTCTAATCTTTGGCTGAATGGTGAACCTCGAGAGTGACTTCATAACTGAGCTAAAAGGGTGTCTGGAGGCCATACTCCCAGGGTTTCTCCAGTCTCTGTCAGGCCAGTAAGTCTGGTCTTTTTTTGTGAATAGGAATTTTGTTCTACATTTTCCTCCAGCTCTGTCTGGGACCCTCTGTTGTGATCCCTGTCAGAGCATTCAGCAGTGGTAGCCGGGCACCGTCTGGTTGTACTGGACCGCCATGTTTCTTTTATAAAAAAATGTACACATATCAGTGAGCACGTTTGTGAGTACCGTATTTTTATGCAAATAGCACATGAATTATACATTTTTTTGCCAGCTGCACAACCCTCCGCAGTATTTTCATAAGCATGCTATGCCACCAGTTGTATGGGTGGGCATGTTATTTGGGAAAAATACGGTATATCAGTAAGTTAAATCTGGAAGTTTAATTGCTGGGCAGGGGTATGTGTATTTTAAACCATGATAGATATTGCCAAATTGCCTGCTAGAAAAGTTGAACCAATTTACATTTTAACCAAAGATATATGAAAATTACTGGTTTCACATAGCCTCATCAAAAGGATGTGTTGCAGCTTTTTGATGTTTCTCATTGGATAGGTTAAAAATAGTGTCACATTTTTCTTATTACAAGTAACACATCTTTTCACGTTTAATAGAAAATGTGAATTTTTTTTTCTTTGAAGTATCTGCTTATATTATTTGACCACTTTTCAATTATGTTGTTGGTCATTTTCTTATTGATGTGTTTAAGTTCTTTATAGGTCAAGGAAAAATAGCCCTTTTTTGTGATACAGAATTCAGTTTTTTCCCCAGCTTGTCATTGTCTTTGATATTTATCTGTGGTGCTTTTTGCCATGCAGAATTTTCTTTTTTTTACATAAATGAGTTTATCAATCCTTTTATATAGCTTCTGGGTTTTGTATAATAAGATTTTCTACAGGCCAAGACTATAGGAAAATATTCTATCAGATTTTCATCCACTACTTTTTTTACTTTTCTGATTAAATCTTTAATCTATAAAGAACTTGTTTCAGTGTAAAGAAAGAAGTAGAAGGCATTATTTTTCTTCAGATGAACTACCAGTTTTTGTAACTGATATTTATGGAATAATTCATCTTTTCCCCTGATGTATAGTGTCCCGATTAACATATTTTAAATTTTCATGTGTATTTGGTTCTATTTCTTTGCTCTTTAAACTGTAACATTAATCTGTTGATTTATACTACAGTGCTATACTATTTTAAGTACTCTAGTATTATAATGTTTCATTGCTAATCTTGCTTCATTCTCTAGTTTTTTCAGAATTTTCTTCACTTTTTTTCATGTTCACCTTTATATGACTTCAGAATCACTTTATCTAGTTTTTAATCCATATCTTCATTATGACAGTATTAAATTTATAGAAGAAATTAGGAATTTATAACCTTATGATGTAAATAAACCTATCCACATATAAACCAAAAACAAAAAACCATTGCCACATATAGTATGTGCTTTCCCTTTGTTCAGCTCATCTTTTTTTGTCACTAACATTTTAAAATATTTTTATTTGATTTTTCACATTCTTCTTGTGTTTATTTCTAGGTATTTAATCACTGAATTGCTATTACAAATAAGATTCCTTTTTTCATATAGGAAGGCTTTTGATATTTGTATATTAATTTTGTACCTAGTCTCATTATTATTACCATAATAATAATAATAATGATAATAATAATATTTAGTGCTTATTATATGTAGGCATGTTCTAAGTGATATATATATATTTACATACTTGTTCCCCTTAATAATCCTATAATAGATAATTTTGTTGTCCCCATTTTACAGAGGAGGAAACTGAGCACAGATAGTTTAAGTAACTTACCCAAGGTCACACAGGTAGTTACCAGTGGAGCAGAGGAGCCAGCATTTAAACTAGCAATACGCCACCAAAGTCCCTGCTCTTAACCAGTACACTGTAATACTTATGATTGTTTATATTAGTTTATCAGGGTAACTTTAATTACACACACAGTGACAATTTACTTCTTTTCAAATTTTTAAACCTCTTTTTTTTTTCTGTTGTCTACTTCCATTAGCTTGTACCTCCAGAGTAATGTTAAGTAATACTAGTTATACTGAACATATTTCTCTTCATTCTGAATTTAATGTGAATGTCTAGAATTTAAATGGGATTGTTTTTATCATTTCCCCATTTTATTATGTCCCCATGAAGTCTTCTAGGTTGAGATATATATTTCATCATGTTAAGAAAATGTCAGTTTAGCCCTATTTGATTAAGAGTTTTTAATCAAGAATGGATGTTTAATTTTAACAAATGCCTTTTAAACAGCAATGGTCTGAATTTTCTTTTTTAACCTGTTAATAAGCTGGTTGAAACACCACTTGCCATCAAATCCATTCCAACTTATGGCAACTCGTGTGTCAGAGTGGAACTGTGCTCCCTAGGATTTTCAATGGCTGATTTTTTGGAAGTAGATCGACAGGCCTTTCTTCCAAAGTGCTTCTCGGTGGACTCAAACCTCTCACCTTTCAGTTAGCAGCCAAGTGCATTAACCATTTTTATCACCCAGGGACTTTGAATATTAACAGGAGTGAATTATATTCATTGATTTCCCTATATGGAACCATCCTGAATGTCCAGTATCTTCTATTCCTCTTGTGTACTGGAATGCACTTGTTAGTATTTTATTTATAATCTTTTACCTTAGTATTCATAGGTGAGATTTGTCTATAGTTCACATTTTTATAATGTTAAAGTAATATTTATTCTGGCTTTATAAGAAAATTTGGGGAATTTTTCTTCATTTTCTATAGTCTAGAGCTGTAATGTCCAACATGGTAGTCAGTAGACATATGTGGCGATTTAAATTTAAATTAATTATGATTAAATAAAATTTAAAATTTTGTTCCTCAGTCTAACTAGGTACATGTCAAGAAGCTAGTGGCTACCATATTGGCAGTGCACATTTAGGGCTTTTCCATCATGCTCAACGGCATTTTCAATAGCACTGGAGTTATCTGATTCTTAAAGTATTAGTAGAATTCTTCTGTAAACAAGTAAGATCTGAGTTGTTTGTTTTAAGGAGGATGGCTCTTTGACTTTTTCCATTTATTTTATGGTAATTGGGTCTGTGTAAATTGTCTATAGCTCTGGAACAATTTTTTAAAACACTTTATGGCTTTTTTTGATTCTTAAAGTGATACATATTCATTCGAAGAAACTCTGGAAATCACAAAAGAATACTAATAAGAAAAAACAAATTATCCCCACTGAATGGTTAATAACTGAGTACATTTCCTTTCAGTTTTTTTAACCCCTTACATATAAATTCATTAAATTGTCAATATGTGTGTGCGTATGTATGTGTGAGACACAAACACATTTACACGTAAGTTTTGTGTTCTACTTTTTATTAAATGGTATTCTCCCCAGTCATTAAATAATCTTTGAAAACATGATTTTTAGTGGCTACAAGGTAGTCAGTTTCCACCATTTGCCAAAAGTGAGCAAGTTGCTTAACTTCTCTCTATGCATTACTTTTCTAAACTAAACGGGAATGTCCCTTCCTCCTATGGTTGTAGTAAGGATTGGATGGGTTCGTGTATATTATTTTTAAAGCCGCTGAACTTGTGCTAATCACTCGTTAAGTGGGGTTACAGATAAAGATGCTATAAATGTGAAAATCAGGTATTATGAAGTTACTCACTTAGCTCGTCAAAAAATGATAAATAGAAATGGCATGCCTGTATTTTTGAGCCTATAGACAATTCAAGCAGTCATTAGGCAGTTGAGGCAAGGATGAAATTTTAAGTTTGAATTAAGTGAGTAATTATTTCAGTAATCATTTCACTTTATGCAGGTAGATATGTCTTCCGTATCTGTCTAGGTACGTGCATACATGGTGATACACGTGAAAAATAAATTGGAAGCTGATGGTATGGAAGTGGTTCAAGAGGTTTAAAGTGTTGCCTTGTTCCCATTTTATT